AAGTGTTACAATTTATTTTAAATAAAGAAACATTACTGAATGCATTAATAGAATAGTTCACCCAAAAATAAAAATTTGCTGAAAATGTACTTGTAATCTTGTGAAGTGAAAAGTTGTGTGTTTGTAACAAAATAATAATAATAATTACAATTTTAAAAATGTTGATTACTTGCAGATTCTATTTTCAGCTGCAGAGGATCTTGTGGTGAGCAAGTGCTAAATTTCTCCAAATCTGTTCTGATGAAGGAAAAAATCATCTACATATTGGATGGCCTGAGAGTGAGCAAATTGTATATTTTTTATTTTTTGGGGTGAAGTATTCTTTTAAGCTAACATTTCTAAAATATAACAAAGAACATGACTAGCACAGGTCATACAATGTCATGTATTCAAATAGGATGAAAACAAGAATGTAATAAGTACTATAACATGACTGTGGCTACACTTGTGTCATGTAAGTGAAGGTTTGTATGCTCCTTTACGGCTTAATGAGACTGAGGGACAGGTGTGATTGGGGACAAAAGAAGCATGTGTGTGTGTGTGTGTGTGGGGCAAAGCTGGGGTGAGGATGATGCCCCTGTCAAAACACACATTTATCACACCGTCTAATCAGTAATTATGTGCATGTGTCAATGGCACAGATTTGCACCGACTCCTTGTGAATATAATCTGCATGTATGAATAATCTGAACGTGACTGAGTGCTCTCTGGGCTTAAAACAGAATGTGAGGTTCGCACACACAATGAGTGAGAGGGGAGTCGCTGCCCTCTTAAGTGGAATCTCATTTCCATGGGGGTCATATAATTTCAGCTTAATTAACTGCAACAGAAATATTGACCCAAGTGGGGCATCGTACCACCTGCACGATGTGCTTATGTGCAGGAGAGGGGATTGGACTCTAGTAACCACTCGGGTAAAGGAGTTTGAGGGTTGGGGGTCTTGTTTCTCAGTTATCTGGAAGGGGAACTGGATCGTTTTCAATTGCAGGCGTGAACTCAAGCCATGCTTCATGGCGTATACATGGATGACACAGGGTGTGGGGTTAAATTGAGCCCCAAGGCTGTGGAGGAATAGGAGGAGGGGGCTTTTGGGGTTGGGACTAGCAGGTGGGCCTGCACTGCTATGAGGTGGATCTGCTCCTTTAAAACAAGCGGACAGCTGGTCTCTTGGTGGACTGGAGGGGTAGAGGGTGACAACTGTCACAGGTGCAGTGATTCAGTGTGTTTGTATGTGGGGGGGGGGTTGGGGGTTGTATTTGTTGAGTAGGGCCTTGGACAGAATACAAGCAAAAGTCTGAACAAGTGTTAGAATATGAAGAAAGGGAGGGAGAGAGTGGAGCAGAGAGAAAGTATGTGTGTTTTTCAGTAAGTGAACGCTCTCAGAGGCGCTTTTTCTGTGTCAAACAAACAATGGAAACAGGTGCCTCACTGTGAGAAGGAAGTGTGGGGTAAGTTTCAGACAGTGTCTTACTGAACATGGACTGGCACTTCTATTCCTGTCATTTATACACCTCTTCATTTACCACTCCTGATGTCATTATAAATAATTTTTATTTCTATGTTACATTCATATTATCCTAGAAGGACTTTAAGGCCCCGATATACTCAAAGCCAATTTGTTTTTCATTCTTCGCTTAGGGTAAAAAAAAAAAGTTTTACACTTTATACAAAAGATTGCTTAAAAGCAATCAGCTTTACAATATCACACATGAAAAACAGAGTCAGTGTCACTTTCCATTAGAATTTTAACTTCAATTTCTACTAGAAAGCAGCTCTCCAGTGTGTTGATGTTTTTACTTGCTGATGTCTGACCTTAACAGACGCAATGGAGGAAATGAAGTTTTCTGTGTCAAAGGTGGTGGAACCCCACAGCAATAGTAGTTTGAAGGTGTCGGAAGTAACTCACTCTGGAAAGCTGTTTTGAACTCCTGAAACGAACTCATTTTAGCCTTATATTGCTTGAAATTATGTCACACCAGTTAATTTTTCAATTTAGCTATATAAGGATCTTTACGGTTTACAAAGTTTAAAACAAAACAAAACCAGATTCCCACTTTTTTTTGGATTAATAAATGTTTTTTACTGGACATTTCCAGTTAATTGTAATGACTGGATACTGGATCTGCTAGTCTTGATCTGCAGCTGAATCATTTAGAATACTTTGTGAATCAGTTTGAACAATTCATTAAAGGGAAGGTCTAATGCCATTTCATGCATTCTGACTTATTTACACGGTTAAATAGTTGGCTTCTCATGCTAAACATGGCCAAAGTAAAAAAAAAAAAGAAAAGAGTTGAACGTATGACGGAGTATTTCGGTGCCAAATACACTCTTTCAGGGTTCGTATAAGTTTCGGAAAGGTTTTTGTTTTTTTTCTCTCCCCGAGCATGGCCCTGTATGACGTCACAAAGGGCGGAATTCCTTGTATGAATTCCATCAACCAGAGCGAGAGCAAGAGCACAGCCATCAACGTGCTTCATTTGGTTATAGAAGTCGTCGGCAGCACTGCACAGGACTTGCTCTAGAAGGATTTGTCATTTTGTTTTTAGACCACGAAATCAACAATGTCACCAAAGAAGTGTGTTTTTGATTGTGAGGGAAAGAGAACCTTGTTCAGCTTCCCAAAGAACCCAGCGTTAAGAGAACAATGGATGCAGTTTGTTTCTCCGGGGCGGCAACGTTGTGCATCGAGTTGTGCAAGCGTGTTTGCTTGTTCTCTGCATTTCGGTGACGAATGTTTTATAAACAAATTACATAAGTCAATTAAGTTTTTGCTCCTGTTTTATTTATGTCAATAGCTATATTTCCATCACCCTGTTTTAATGCGCATTTTGAAGTATCGCTTGAAAAATTTTGAAAATAAGTTTTTACGCTCGCTTGAGGGGGTTTTTGACTTGGCGAAAAAGGGTTAATGCGAATAATGAGAATTGGAAACGCATTTTGCGAATAAATCCCACATGAGCGTTCAAAAAAGTAATGTGACTTTTGCATTATGGGACAGCATAACCTGACTAACCAGAGGACCGATTTTGTTGCACAGCATCTGAAATGTTGTCATGGTCATTCTAAAGTACCCGAGCAAAATCTGTCGTCAAAGTATTTCTGTATAACTGCCTCCCAGAACGGTCTACCACGACTGCGTTCCCAAACAGCTGACATTCACCTCCGAAAGCAAGACCGCATTTATTGTGTTTCGTCTGCTCACTCAAAGCGCAAGTAATTTATTATATTTGAGAATTATTATATTCAGTGGCTTCTCTTACTTTTCTTAGTGATATTTAGTGCCAGTTTATCAGGAAGTGACGAATTTGTTCTCTCTGTCTCGTTGGATGGAAACAGTGCTTGTTCGCAAATGTTTTATGCGATATTCCAATTTTGCGCATAAGTTAAACTCGCAACTTTGGATGGAAACCCAGCTAATGTCACAGCTTGCAGACGACCGCTACGCACAAGCTTCGCACACTCATGACTCTTTAGCTCCGCCCACAGCATGCCTCCAGGAGCTCGACTGTTTTCAGAGTGAAGCGTAAAGCTGTAACTGTCTTTTATAAATCTGATAAAACTAAAGACACTTCGGAGATTAGTGATCTCCGATAGGAATCTTAAGCTTAACATGAGATTGGCAGAAACTGTGTGTTATGTCCCCTTTAAAAACAACCAACTCAAAAGAAACATTCACCCATAAATCACACCACTTTGACTTGCAAGCAAGTTTAACTCCACATAAGTGCTACACGAGCAGAATCTAGCTAACAGATTTAAATTGCATATTCATTATAGATATTTTATTGTTATTATTTTATTGACGATTTTATTCTTTTTCACAAGTTTTCAGGCCTGGAAAACAGTGATATTTCCATGTTTTCCATGATCATGGGAACCCTGAAACTGTAAATTTTGTGAACCATGTTAAAATAATTTTCTACTGAAATAAATGAATACTGATTATGACAAATATTTAAAATAATGTACACTTACATGATATACAGATTTCTGACTTATTTTATTCATGAAGAGTCAGTCTACATATTGGCTGTCATTGGATGACATGACCAGCCGAATATTAGTAACATCTTATCTCTTACATCTCTGCAATCCTGCTGTTGTCAGATACTTTTGAACCAACCATGCATTTTGCGACCAAAAATATCTGATAATAGTTCTGCAAATACAATATCTATACTATTATTAATATACTATAATTGTATCAAACACTAAATGGGTTAACAAGGTGAGGAGGCAGACTTTGAGACCAAAGAATCATGACCATGAAAAATATGACCATGCACAAGTGTGTGCCTGTCTGAGACGGGTAGGTAAGATATGAGATCGTAATGTTCACTTCAGGAGAATCTAGACTAGTATATGATGGGTCACATGTTGCTTCAATACTGATCACATCTCCACCTGTCTCCATGACTGCAATACCTAGGCAAAGACCTCAAAGTATTTAACTCCGGAATCTAGTGGGAATGCCTCACAGATATTGAGACTGTGACACACCAACATAACCTGAGAGAGGAAGCTAAGAACCTGACATAGTATCTTTAATTATCACCCCACAGGCCAGCAAGCCCCGACAGTAACCTGATACTACCACATATGGCCACTCATGACTTATGTTAAGATTCCTATGGCTTTATGCATATATTATGCAACTGTCAATACTGCCCTACAAAGATAAAATACAGTAGCTGCACATTTTATGTTTGAGTTATGACTGAAATTGGGTCACTTAGTTTAAGATCTGCTTATCTCAGATAAATCTGGTTTAAATATGAAGAAAAAAATGATACCAACTCAAACAAAACTCAATCAAAACTATGAAGAAGCATTTCGATTTTCTAAACATGCACTAGATTGTTGACTTTGACACTTTTATTTTGCATTGTACATAATTTTTTTAGCACATTTTGTACAAATGGCTCGTTAGAATACTTAAATCAAATCATTTTATGCTTTTGATGGAAGATCCTTTAAAAGTTATCCTAAAAACGTACCTTCTCTTTGGCTACTTTATGCGAGAAAGGACAAGTCCCATCTGTCTGCTTGCATGTGCCTCGGAGAAACCTGGCAACAAATCAAGTTTAATTTGAAGCTGGCTTACAAAGCGTTAGACATATTGTATAATGTGAGAGTGTGCAGATACTCAGTACCTGGTGCAGACGGCCACTTTGTCAGGGTCATGGATGTAGGGGCAAGCGTCGCCATGGTTACACTTGCCGAATCGGTTATAGTACATGCAGTACTGCTTGGCCCTCTGTTTCTTCTGTCGGGCCTGTCGTATTATAGCTAAACTCTTCTGCACAGCACGACTGATACGCATAGAAAAAAATGTAATCACAAACCCAGTAAACAAATTGATGGTCATATGTTTTATGTTGTTACGCTGTGAAATTAACCATCTATTACAATACTAACCTGGCTACGTAACGTGTGGCTGATGTTCTTCCCTGATTACCAGTCGAAGAAACATATGGATTGTACCACTCTCCTGTAGTATGGAAAGAAAAAGACAATTATAGAAGATGACCCATTACACATCAAAACATCAAGTATCTCACACCATTTTATGGAGGTGTGACTTTGTGCCATGAAACACAAAAGGAGGTTTAGCTGTGCATAACAACCTAACTCTGTAATCTGTTTGCCACACAAAACTCATATTTTTCAAAGTCTGATGGACTTTTTTATGATGGTTTTGTAATAATTTTATAGTGTTTTATGACATTTTTGGTACTTGACAGTCCCTGGTCACTTAATTCTTTCAATGGAAGTCTGATGGACTTTTTTATGATGGTTTTGTAATAATTTTAGTGTTTTATGACATTTTTGGTACTTGACAGTCCCTGGTCACTTAATTCTTTCAATGTATGAATGAAAAAGTAGCATTAACATTCCACTAAACATCACTTTTTGTTTTTCATGGAAGAAAGAAATTCTTTGGTTTTGTGTTTGGTTTGGATTGACAATATAAAGCCAATATAAAGCAATGTATTATGTCTTTGTGAATGTAATGCAGATATTATAGCTTGAAGTGAGCTGTAGGTCAGTGCTTGTTTGTTCCTCTTGCCTCATCTAAGCTTGTGCACAAACAAATGTATTTATAACAAGCCAGACTAATAGCATGTAATTAAAGGCCATCACATTCATTGGTAGTGATGGAGGCCAGCAAGTACAACTAAGACAAGATACCATGCTGTTTATTTATACGTCCGGGTCTGTCAACTACAGCCAAATGGCAATCTGAAAAATAAGTAGATATAAACACTGTACTTTATGCAGCACTGAGTGATATAGCAATGAGGGCAGAGCACAAGGAATTTAGGATCCAAGTGCATGTGAGAAATGGCTCGCTGGTTATGTGGGATGCAATTGTGAAGTTCATGTGAAAAAGTGAAGGAGAGATTGAGTCTGTGTATATTAACTGTACCAGACTCGTGTGTGGTGAGACTACAGTTTGTTGGGGAGATCATAAATAGATGAAATGTGTGTGGAACTCAGTCACAGAGCAGGAGCTGATCTTTAATTCCACTTCTGACTAGGGCTTTAGGGTTTAATCTAGGCCATTCACCATCTCTCTCGTTCTCTCTGTGTCTCTCTCTCAACCTGTAGCCAGTGACAGATGACAGCTTTATTATAGAAACACTTTTTCGCACCACTGTGTATATATTATATATATTAGGGGTGTAACGGTACACAAATATGACAGTTCGGT